TGCAGACAGGTTTTGGGAAGAGAAAGCTAGAAGTGTCTATGCGTTATTCACGAGCTGTTGCAGGATGGCTCCCGTAGGCGTATTAGTTGCACCAACCGAAATACTGAGGGGTAGCTGAATATACAGACGCATTAACATATTGGCATCTGCAGTAGCAGTCTTGATTTGCTCAAATGCTTCCAGTGCTTCATGAGTAAAAACTAGTTATTTAGAAGATTAGCTAATGTCTTCAAAGTATGCACGCATCAGGGAATAAAAGAACAGTTGTTACTCACCGTGCGAGAAGTGTGAGCAGTCATTACAGAGGTGTCGGCAGTGGGGAATTTTGTATCGCTTCTACCTCTTCAGGTATAACTCACCACAACATCACATGGACAGATGTACGCTTGTTGGGCACCATATATCTCTCACCAACTACAACCCACCTTTCCTTAGATAATGTGATGAACTTACATCAATAATGTTGCTGAGCAGTTAATATTCTCAACTCCTGTCGGAACAGCTGAAACTCATAAACCTTTCTCGTGCTAAGAAAATACCCACAAGCAGTAGAAATCCATTAATTAATGCGTCTGAAGCTTATATATTTACTCCCAACAATGACATTGCAGATCAAATGAGATAAACACATCACTGGTTTCAAAATAGCACATCAATGAACTATAATTCGAGGACTCTGCACACAACAAAGTTATGTATGAAAATTGACTTCAAGCTTTATTTTTTTTCCCAGGCACTTATAATCCATCCACCAAAGACCTGGTTTTTTTGTTAATGCGAATACAATACTCCTGTATTTCCTGTTGTGTTGCACTCACTGACAATCTAGCAGATTTTTCCAACTGTGCACAGAAATGATTGTATATAAGTGAAAAGACTTTTATACTACTGGGATTAACATTTATCAAGTGTACGTATAATCTCCAGCGAACATGTAAAGCATATCTTGCTACTGCCTGTAAATTGTGATTGAATTATATGGTTCTATTTCTGTAACAATTTGATGATGCCTGTAAACTGGCGTCCCTCATGTACTGTACTATGAGAATAAATTTGTTTATTTATTAAGTTAAGGGATGAATTCCGTGTTTGTCAATAACGTGACCTAGGAAAGTCAAGAATTGAACACAAGTCTGGCATTCGGCTAGGTTAACTGTTACCGAGTGTTTAGAGAGTCGACGAAAAACCTGTTGTAGATGAGCACAATGAGTATCTTCGCCTGGACTAACTATCAGAATATCGTCTAGATCGGCATAAGCAAAGTCTGATCTCCACAAAACATTATGAATAAAACGCCGATTCATCTGTGCGGCGTTGCGTAGGCCGGAAGGCATACGAAGAAACTCATAAAGACCGACCGGGGCTGTACCGGAATTCGGTGATATGCAGGCGATAGATCAAGCTTGCTGAATACACTTGAGCCTCTCAAAGGTGATGTCACATCATGTATGTGTGGGACTAGGTAACGATGGGGAACCGTTTGGAAACTTAGCCTTCGGTAATCGCGACAAAGCTTCCAGTTCATACCACTGTTCTTAGGCACCTGATGTAGAGATGAAGACCATGGACTGTTGGATGGTCCGATTATCCCCATTTCGCGCATGTGTTCAGACACAGCCCTAACAGTGTGGAACTTTTCCAGGATTAACTGTAGTGGTTTAGCGAAGACGAGTATGCCAGCAGTCGTGGCATGTGAGTAACATTGGAAGTTACAGAGGGAGCAGCACCATTAGGTTTGAAAGTGTCGGCAAAAGATTGGATTATGGTGGAGTATGGACTCTATCAACTGCCTCTGTCGATCCCGTCAAAAGTGACTCGAGGGGGCATAGGGTCTCGAAGTTGAACGTTTCTGAAGATTCCCTGCATTCTCCGTACGGGGAAGCAATTATCTTGATTAAAGCCACCTTCAAACAACCAGAAAGGCTTTAGGAAGGGTGTGGGGAACACAAGAGTGAGCTGAGTAACGGTACAGGATATCAGAATAAAAAGTCAGAGTAATGAAAAAATGTTGAAATAGCACACTATAAAGGTACTGGTTACGAGTTCTTAAAGTTAATGGTCACTTGAGAATACGGTCAAAGTTCACTGCTACAAATTATTAATGTAACCCACTGATCTGTTTTACTCATGGAGTCGTGTCTGCTGGTTGAAGTAGTTTACTGGATGTGGATGAGATATTCCTGCAAATTCCGAAAAATACGACACGGGTGTTGGCGGAGCAAGAGTATAGTACAAGTCAGTAGGAAGACGAATTGACGAACAACATGGCCATAATTCTATTCGAACACCAAAGTTATATATTATTGACAAGGAACCTGGTCAAACAAAACCGTGTACCACACGTTCATCTTTCAAACTTATCAAAAACTGTGCAAATTTATAATTTAGGATTCCAAGGATATATGAAACGCCCACCATTATGTTTTCGGGAAGACTGGGGATCCTGAGGTTGGCTTTAGTTCCTGCCGAGTGAATACCCCGTGAAGAGATCTGCACTTCAACACGTGAGAACCATGAAGACGCCCAATATGCCTGAGAGGTGAGCGGTTGAAGCGCAACTGCCGTCTGAGTAGGAGAGTCGTTTTCAGCTATCGTTTGATAAGGTATGTGACATGAAATAGTGAATATATGTCAGTGTGAAATAGCACAAGACTTCAGTTGAAAAAGAAAATAACCTCTTATTTGAAGGCAAAAAGCAAAGCGACGATAAAAAGTTAGACTACTGACAAATTAGGCTTAAGCTGGGGCAGTGAATGAGATTCAGGTTCACCGGTTGTAAGGTACTCATAGTGCTGTTAATAAGCTACACTTTGCAAGCCCTCAATTAACGCAATTTGTATAGTTATCCAGCAATTCAGTACTTCACCTAACTGTAAGTGCTCACGACAGAACGCAAATTAAAGAGATTTGTTTATCCAAGGAGATAGGTCTAGAACTTATCTAGCGAAGACGGCTTAATTACAAACTCAGAGGATGTGCCTGTTGACAGTACAAAGCAAAAGCGCAGAATCGCTCTGGAGCCATTACATATATGTTCACATTGTAACAAAGTTTTAGAACATTGGAAGTTATACCAGATACTTTAAACGAGGACGATAAAGACTGTTTGACTCTATCCCCGCGCCTTCTGAAATTTGATTTGGGCTGGATACACGATCTGTGGGTAGCTCGTGTCCTACGTTCTTTACCTGTGTGCCTATTGATCTGATCGTTAGCACTGTATTTTTCTCGTAATTTATTGCCTGGTGAGTCGATGACTTTGTTTATTTTGATGTCAATATTGAGGATAATGAGCGGAATGTAGGCGTAATGTGTTGTTAACTTATGTATATCATGTTATATCATGAGTACTAAAGTCTTTGGACTCTTCTTATTGGAACTTATACGTGAATAATTAGTCTGTAGCGAATCGATGGAATAAGGGAGGGACGCATGGGAAATATTTGTACGTATATGTACAGATCGTATCAAAGAACCACCAGTATTTTCTGCCCAAATAAAAAAATTAGGCATTGGGGGGAGTATTTGGGGCTATTGGCGAAGAGTGCCGAAAGTCTTCGGAATTTTCACATCAATTTAGCCTTGAGGTCCCGCAGATTTCTCGAAATTTTGTTATCTGGATGGAGTTCCAGTTAGCTAAGACATTGTGCATAAACATTGCGTACAAAGAGAATCAACAAGTGGTCATACATGGGGGGGGGGCAGGACATGATTTCTCAAAATTGTCAAGGTTCCTATCAAATCGAACTTGGGCGCTGTGGTAGAGTGTAATCCCACCAGAGTAAATTTTTTGATGTCTCAGTGTTATACAGTATTATTTACGGATGACATTTGGAGCACAATTTATTCCCCACACTGCCAAGATGTTCTCGTCTGTCTGAGCGATAATCATGTAAAATATAAATGGACATTGACTAGACTTTATGAGAGTGGCGAGTGGAGCCACTTGCTGCGCTAAAATCACTGGTTTTCTGCAAGTGCCTTGCAGCTTCTTGACGCCTGTTGGTCGACTCTAGTAGTTGGAGGGTATAACAACACGCTCAAGGCTCTCACACGTAAGGTGAGGCAGTGTTGACGTAAGGATGGTGAATGCTGGTGGTGGAAACTTGTGAGACTGAAGTAGTGGCTGTATCTGGTAGTGGTCGACAGTGGTGGGAGACTTTCAGTTCGTCTGAACCACCGGCATCAAGAAGCAATGTGAGCCAGATAGTAAGCTGATCAACAACTTGTTTTTCAGAACGCAGCATGCAAATTCAACTACAGTGCCTCACCTAAAGAAGCAGATAGATATTCGGAGGGAGATCTAGGCACTTAAACTCTTCAAGACCCTCTTCCCAGACAGCTTATCGCCATCTCTTCCTAAATGTGTGGGCGAGACGCTCCGCGGTGATTTCAGTGGGTCCTCCAGGAATGTACGGGGAAGTTAATGTTCCACCAATGTGGAATAAAGCTTTTTCATCGTGCCTATCTTTATGTAGGACCTGTGTAGTACGTTTGACAAACATTTGGGTGCTAGTTTGCTCTGAGTAGCGTCTAAAATAGTAGTTTGTATCTTGCGGCACAGGCTGTAAAAACGTGTGTGCAGCTGATTCGCGAAGACTAGGTTGGGTTTTGTTCAGGCTGTGGATGCATTGGTCATATATTCACTGTTCCTTTGTTGTTGGAACACCGTCACTCGTATTGCAGGCCAACAATCGTTGGGTTTCTTGATTCTTCGATTCGTTGGACAGAACTGCTCTGTGGAACTGTGTTAAAGGGAGAAAGAGAGGGGTGTATTTGAGTTTGTTAACAACCTATGAGCCTTATACAGAAACGCCTCAGGTAGAATAAAGGCATACAACGAGCTATCATCACTGTTTCCAACCGATAATGGGGTTAGACAAAGTTGCCCAATGTCTTCCTTTTTACTCTGCTCGATGAGATTCTGGAGACATCTATTTAGGACATGCGTAGTGGTGATATAGATCTACTTTCTGAAGGACTTTTTTAATCTGAAGTATGCAGACTATATCGTCTTACTGTGCGATAACATACAGACCACCAAGATGGCCCTTAATTAATCTGCAGTCAGCATCTATAAGTATGGTATGCGCTTTGTGTGACCTAAGTGGAAAGTATTGTTTCAAGGTTGACAGGAGTTGTTACCTACACTTCACTTCGCAGGTGAACTGTTTGAAGTCGTCGAAAAGTCCGTGCATCTAGATAGTTGTGTAAGTGCTGGAGTTGGTGTGACCTATGAAGTTTCTAACCGTATATTGAAAGCTAGGGTGGCATACACCAACTTGGGTCAACTTAAGCGCCGTCGTGATCTAAGCATGGTTGTCAAAGGTGGGGTTCACTATAATTTTGGTGCTCTCAGCTTTACTCTACGCCTGCGAGACCTGGTCTCTCCTAGGTAGGGATATAAGGTAACTGAGTGTTCGATCATCTCTGCCTGTGTAGTATTACTTGTCTCCTATTGTGTATCACGGCGGTCACCTTTCATTGATTGTTGTCACCTGGGAACGACGACTTTAGTGGCTTGGACATGTGCTCCAAACGTCATCGCAAAGCTGCCATACTGCTCACAGTTGGCTAGCGCTGGGACATTGGGGAAAAGTGGTGGTCAGCCTATGATGTGGTGCCGTGGGACAAAGGATATGTGTATTAGCATAGCATCCGTTGATTCATTACTGTCTGGGTTCCGAGAGGTATTTCGAACCAGTGGCTCAAAGTGTTATGGTATATGGCTAGGAACCGTAATGAACGGTGAACATGCTACAGTTTCCTCTTTTCCCTTCTGGAAGTAACATCAAGTAGTGGGCCGTCCTTTGAATGATCTTGATGACTGTACTTGCTTGCTTTCTGGATGATGTTGCTGACTTATTCTATCCCAATTTTCCCAATATATTGTCGTATTATTATTTCACTGTGGTGCATCTCTTGGTGTCCATAATGTACGAAGTCTGTTTTAATAAAAATAATTCCATAGGTGTCTTAATTAATCAGCTGCCACCATATCTGAGGATTGACAGGGAAATCCATCTTAATCACACGTTTTGTGTGTGTATACCTCGCTTTGTTTCGCAACAGTTAACATGAGTTTTGATTATTAGACCCTGTTTACTAGTTACATGTTTGACAAATTTTTTCTAGCACTTTTCAGGAATGCCAAGAGAAATTTGCAAGTTAGATGAGAATTCACTGTCTAAGCTGGTAAGTTTTGTTCATTCGTTCATGTTTATTCAGTGATTGATTATGGTTGTTTTCTTTCTAAATTTCATATGTCAAGTGAATTTCATTTTCAGCCATTATAACCCTGAAACCAAAACAAGTGATAAGTGCAACTTATACCTGTAATGAGTATAGTGGAATATATATAGGCACTAAGCAACCCCTGCTTTGGGTGGGACAGTCATCAGTATAAAATTGTGAGCAAGTCGTTGATATTGACGTGCTCAAACCACAGAGTTGCATTCTAATGTAACTAGTGTAACTAACATTCTAAAGGTTAATTGATATACAGTATTTGAATTGGTGATAAAATAAACTTAATTATCCGTTATTTACCTTGGGCTGTAACACTTCTCGTACTCAATATTTCAGTTGTAATGCTTTTATTCTTATGATACCTTCAGCCCCGCATAATAAAGAGATCTTTATCGTTTCTATGTGTAGAGGATATTTCCGTCTTATTCACCTACTCAGTAGCCATTAAAGTGTGAATTTTTGACTGACTTCAGCTAAAGAACCGTACGTTGAAAACCGTCTCGTACTGGGCAGTCGTTTCGTCCTTGCCTCGGACTCTTGAGCAGCACATGCCCACGACCCCACCGGGGATAGAATCCCAGACCCCTGTAGGTTACAAAGCAAGCTCGTAGACCATTTAGTCACTGGGGCTGAATCCAACGGCCCGTCAATTCCAGCTTCTACCGATCGGCTATAAATGACACGACCGCCAGCCAATGTCATCGGCGAGTACTTATCCTCACACACAACTTGGAGGACTCCACTGGTAACGAGTTCGCACTAAAATTTCAGGCAACTTCATCCCATAGTCCGTCACAAGTGAGCACTAGATTATTTTCCAAGTGTTTGCCTGCAAGATTGACCCCTGGTTTCCAGTGGTTCTCCAACTGAAATCAACCTGTACAAGCTCATATGAGGATTATAGAAACTGCACAAAATGGTGAGTACATAAACTTGTATAATACGAAGGTTGGTTACTTTTAGGAACATCGGTGATTTGTTTATTGACTTTGGCATTCATCTCTTAAACTTTCCATCCCATCCACTTTAGAGCTCACAATAAGACAATATCATAAACTTTTGCATATCAAGTGTCTCGTAATCAAGCGAGTAGACGTATATTAAGCCCGTAATATGTTGTATCGTTACTAACTGAAAAATTTATCTCATTAGTATTATTTGATGTGAAGAATAATTCAAAACATCGAATCCTGTTGTACCTATCTGATAATGTTCAATTTTGTAGGAATCCAACTCATGGCAGGAGCGTAGAGATGCTTTAGAACTTATCAGTAATCAGTTAAAAGTCTCAACTTTGCCGAGTGGACTTCTTGGTCAGGTGACTAAAGGACTATGCCAAGTAAGAGTTTTCGCTGTTGTGTTATATTTACGTAAATACATGTTATTTTCAAGTGTTGGTTTGTAGGGATTTGATTGGTTACAGGATTTTCATCATGAGCTGACATTAGTTAGAGAATCATTGGAGTCCCAAACTAGGACGAAACGGCTGTCCAGTACTCCCAGGTTTTCCAATGGTTCTCTAACTAATGTCAGCTCATGATGAAAAACATGTTATTTTCATTAACAACAGGAAAAAATGGTACGAAGTAAATGTTAATGAACCAGCTTGACAGCATAGTACTTTGTAGAAAAGTCCATCTATTCAAGTTATCATACTCCTTGAAGCAGATATAGGAAAGCAGAAGAATATAATGAGACTAAAATCGACAGGGAACTAATAAATAAAGAAAAATTAACACTGGGAGAATCTAGAAGATAGCTCCTAATCTTAATCCTTAATTGTACGCTATTTGGAGTACACAATGAACGAATCAGCTTTAAGCAACGCTAACCCTGAATCGGTCATTTTTATCGGCTTGGGGAGAGACAGAGAGGATAGCTATACGTTGAACTAATAGAAAACACTCCTCGCCTAGGAGGACTATATCGTCTGCATATTCTAAGTCAACAAGATTATTCCATGGTAGCAAGTCAATCCCTGAGTCTCTGAAGTGAGTTAAGGTTGAGTCCATTAGTACAACTATGATGAAATTGAATAGAAATGGGGATAGTGGGTATCCCTGACGGACACCACTAGTTGTCACCACTGCAGATGACAAATCTCCTTTAACTTTTACGTGGCTGCATGAGTTCGAGTAGACTGCTTTGATCAGTTCAATGTATTTTCTCGGCATTCCGTCTACAGCCAAGCATCGTCAGAGTACGTCTCGGTAGACGGAATCAAATGCCGCTTTCAGGTCAAGAAATATGACGATTATTGGACTCCGGTAAGTATACCTATGTTCTGGAATATGTCAAAGGGTGAAGATATGATCAATACACCCTCTTCCTGGTCTAAAGCCTGCCTGGTTCTCTCGTGTTTGTGCCTCCCGAGCACAACTTAGTCCACACAATATTATTGAGCCTAGGACTTTAGATACTATATTAGTCAAGCTAATCCCTCTGTGATTATCACAGGAAGACTTGTCTCCCTTCTTGTATATGGGGATAATCAGTGACTTACACCAACCCGACGGGACTTCCTCTGATTCCCAGACGCTGCCTAGTACCTCAGTTAACGCAGACAGTAAACTGTCTCCACCGTACTTAAATACCTCTGGAGTCATTCCATCAGGTCCTGCTGCTTTGTCTTGTTTCAGACTAGTGACAGCTTTAGTAACCTCAGTTAAGGACGCGGGACCTGTGTCCATATCCCATTCAGGGAGGTGTTGGATGTTCGGCAGGTTAAGCGTGGCTGTAGGCCAATTAAACTGCTCCTCATAGTGTTCCTTCCAACGTTCCAGTCGTCTATCATGGGAGCTAATTATGGTGCCATTTTTCTCAGAGATTGTTTCAATTATCATTTACCTTCTACCACCTGTTTCCCTGATTGATAAGCCTAAATAGTTGTCTGGTGTTACCAATCGCCGATGCCTTCTCCATCTCTTTCGCTTTTGTCGCCCACCACTGTTCACGGTCGTTGCGAAGACTTCTTGTTAGTTTTCGTTTGAGTACCTTTCGCTCCTGCATTATTATGTATTATATTATATGTACATATTATTATGTATGTATGTATATGTATATAAGTATGTACAGTTGATAGTTGTTTCTTATCAGGGACAGTCTACGTCAGCATGGCTTATGAAAAATGCCACAAACTCAATAGCACTATGCAGGCAATCGGTTATAACCATCTTAAGACGGTCAAGTCGGTGGTTCAATTATAGCATGCTCGCAAACCATGAACGTCACCCGAGTTCGACTTTCAACCGACACATTCCTAAATCTCACCTAGCCAGCAGTACACCCATTAGAGAAGGGGGATGGTTAGAAGGGACGGTAGCAAAACCCATACAGTAAAATAAGACAAAATAAGACTACCGCTACTGAGTGCAAAGCTCAAGCTTGAAACACGACGTATGATTCGGAATGCAAAGAAACGGAAATAGACGGTCGCTAGTTAAATACTGATAGGGAGAAGGAATTTAGATCTTATATGTTGCTTTTACATTCCCAATTACATGTGTTCCCCATCATTTAAAAATAAAGGAATCTAATGCTTTCAGTTTACCTAAATTTGATACGCTCCGACTGTTGTTTATTCATCAAATGGTAGTATTAAAATTCAAAGCACATATACTGTGCAACTATTGATCAAACCGCATCAAAGGCTGTGTTTGCTTTGATAATCTTATACATTAATTAATAAGTGACAAAATGACAAATTTCAATGTCAATTTTGCCACGAGCCGACCACAGTGAACGAACGAAACAATACGAAACGCAAAGGAATGAAAACAAGATGTACATGACTCATAAAACAGTTTCTTCAAAAGCAGCTCAGGTCGTCTAACAACATAGGATAGATACTCTAAATAGATCTTATATATTTCTACTTTTAGCTGGAATAGCTTCAATTTGTTATTATCCCATGTGAGAATAATTAACATAAAGGCATTCACAACAAAACACTTAAAATAAAAATGACTTACACGGAAGATGCTGTCTTTCACAGTACCACAATTTAAAATGTACTGCAATGAATAATGCACATCAGGAAATCCTGGTGGGTTAGAATTGATCAACGAATGAATACGTTCAGCAACCTGTAGGCGAATCCTCCAAGTGGGATTAATTAACTGCTCTAACGCCACATTCTCTAAATATCCCCTAAAAATGAAGAATAAAAAATGATTGTTCTTTAGTTTGAATATTTGCAGAGGTTTCCCTACACCTAATAAACGAGTAAAAATGCAGAGTGGTTAGATATTTTTTATGTTGGCTTAGAAATTTCTAGATACTCACTCACTCATAATCTCCACCCTTAATTGTACGCCGTTTGGAGTACACAGTGAACGAATCAGCTTCAAGCAACGCCAACACTGAATTAGTCATTTTTATCGGCTTGGGGAGAGAGAAGACGGCTCTACGTTGGACTGACAGAAAACACTCTTGAATATCAAGACTTTGTCTAACAAACTCGAAGATAATATAAGTGAACACTGAAACGTTGGTAGACGATGCAGGCGATGAAGGAGGTTCTTCAAGTGAACACAGAAAACATAGGGGTGATGAGGATACCTAACCAACAATAACAAGTACCAAACACTATCTACAGGAGAAATATAAAGAAACTGAATTTTTCCACTTACCTCGGCGTCATCATTCCCATTCAGGTTCCACTCGAATCACTTTTGTGATTACAAATCCGATGTAGACTCTATCATGGTTTAGTATCTTTCGGAGAGTCAGTGAAAGGTATGAAACACTGGACAGTCGTCTCATCTTAGTTCAGAAGTCTTCAGCTACTCATACCCAGGATTGTCAGTCTGTGGGACATGCATACTACCACTTGGTCACTGAGACGGAATTCAATGATCCATGAGTTCTATCTTCTGCTGATTCTCAGCATATCGCCAATACGGTCGATGAACATTCTCTTCACTTATTTATTGGTGAACCCCATTCACCACAATTTCGCACTAGAATATCACGACATCCAATATAAAACCTGTAAATAATAGTAACGAAATAGATGGGACCATGAATATGTGTTGCTAAAATGTCCCAGAGCAGTCCAATGCTCCTTGGTGTTCTTCGATCAATGATTTTATAATTGATGTCACTCCTTGACGACATCTGCATTGAAAATAATCAAATGCCTACAAACCCTAAATCTGAATATGCATCCAGATAGCCAACGGGTACATCATCTTTTATCTTTGTTTTATGTATACATGCACGGAGTTCATTACTGGCAGCATCATTTATATTCTCGTCAATGAAAATTACGATTCAGAAATGAGTAACCAAAAGTTTTGAACTTGAGTTTGTAATTTCAAAATATTTTATACCAGGAACTCGTTTTTGTTTTGTAAAAAATATTTCCTGTCTCTACCTCTCTTAAAATTTCAGCCATCAAATCGTCACCTAGAATACCGAATAAGTTGAGCAAAGGAAACAAACAAATGACAACACTTCAAAGACAAAGTCATTTGTCGACGAGTACACCATTTTCGGAAGTCCGTAAGGTGGCTTCACGCAATGTTCAACAGAATAATAAGATATTAACGCCTAGTGTTGCAGAGGGGTCTATGTCGTTACAACGTGCAGGAACGAAACAACCGTCAGCAGTGGTTACTAAGAAAGCTGCAAACAAAAGAGTTGTGCAATCAAAAGCTCAAAAGTGCGCACCACAACTTACTCTGACAGCCTACACCGTAGCTGACCAGACGACAAATTCAAATCTTGTGCTGCACACTTTTGAGCTTTTGATTGCACAACTCTTTTGTTTGCAGCTTTCTTAGTAACCACTGCTGACGGTTGTTTCGCTCCTGCACGTTGTAACGACACAGACCCCTCTGCAACACTAGGCGTTATTATCTTATTATTCTGCTTAACATTGCGTGAAGCCACCTTACGGACTTCTGAAAATGGTGTACTCGTCGATAAATGATTTTGTCTTTGAAGTGTTATCAGTTGTTTGTTTCCTTTGTTTGGCTTATTGACTATTCTAGGTGATGATTTGATGGCTGAAATTTTAAGAGAGGTAGAGACAGGAAATATTTTTTACAAAACAAAAACGAGTTCCTGGTATAAAATATTTTGAAATTACAAACTCAAGTTCAAAACTTTTGGTTACTCATTTCTGAATCGTAATTTTCATTGACGAGAATATAAATGATGCTGCCAGTAATGAACTCCGTGCATGTATACATAAAACAAAGATAAAAGATGATGTACCCGTTGGCTATCTGGATGCATATTCAGATTTAGGGTTTGTAGGCATTTGATTATTTTCAATGCAGATGTCGTCAAGGAGTGACATCAATTATAAAATCATTGATCGAAGAACACCAA